TCAGTCTCCTCTTCTCCAGCTGAACAGACCAAGTGCTCTCAGCTGCTCCTCGTGTGGCTTCCTCTCAAGGCCCTTCACCATCGCCATGTCCCTCCTTTGGACACTCTCTAATAGCACTAGATCTTTATTTTACTGTGGTGCCCAAGCTGCACACAATGTTCCAGGTGAGGCTGCCCCAGCACAGAGCAGAGCAGGACAATCCCCTCCCTCTCCCTCTGGCCATGCCTTGCCTGATGTCCTCCAGGACACGATGTCCCTCCTGGCTGCCAGGGCACACTCTTGGCTCATATCCAACTTGCCATAAGCCAGGACCCACAGGGCCCTTCCCCTGGCACTACTTTCCAGCCTCTCCTTCCCCAGTCTGTAGGTACACTCAGGGCTGCCCCATCCCAGAGGCAGAATTGGCACTTGCCCGTGTTAAATTTCATGAACTTCAGCCTTGGAGCTGCTGCTTCTAACCAATTCCTTTCTGCCCTCCTGAGTGCCAGACTGTGCCAGAGTCTGGACTTGGCCATCCTGTGAGGTGACTGGGATGCTGCTGCTGTGGTACCACTGTGAGGGGGTTGGGCCCACCTGGGCAGTGCTAAGCAGCAGGAGATCACCACCCAGGAGTGGGTGTTCCCTGGGCAGACAGGGCACCTGGTTGATGCACACATCCAGGTAGGGAACTTGGTTCCTCCCTCAGTGGGGCACATCCACATCTGGGTTCCTATCCAGTTCAGGGGTATCTCCTCCCATTCTGGGACATCTCCCAGTTAACCCATTCAGGGACATCTCCTCCCATTCACGGACATCTTCTCCCAGTTAACACATTCAGGGTTATGTCCTCCCATTCAGGGACATTTCCTCCCAGTTAACCCATTCTGGGACATCTCCTCCCACCCAGGCCCTGGACAGTTGGGAGGAGATGCTGGCAGAGCTCTGACCTAGACTCACCCCCCGTGCTGCACACTGAGAACACAACATATGTTCCCCAAACACAGAGCATGAGCTTTTTGAGTGGAGAACAGCTGTTGTGGGGGCTTAAAAAGACTCTGTTAATTTACTTTGACTTACAACTGATGGAACTTAAAAAAAGATTCCCCAAGAACTGCAGCACTAAGAGTCAGGAGGAGCTTCTGCTCATCCATCACCTAAATGGAAACGCTCAGTTATTGTGCTGTTAATCTTCATAATCACCATCACATGCTGACAAATGTGCAGTGGAGAACAAATGGCTCTTGCCTCCATCACCTCTCTGTGGAACTGAGTCTGGGGAAGGGAACAGTGGCACTAGACAGAAGGGACCTTGGCTGTCCTCGAGGGAGCAGTAGCAGCTGTGGGTTCCTCTAAGAGAGCGATGGGAGGCACCAGCAGTTTTGAAACTGAGCAATTCATAGAATGTTATAGAATCATAGCTTCATAGTATGTTAAGGGGTGGGAATGGACCTCAGAGATCACCCAGCCCCAACCCCCTGCCCTGGGCAGGGACACCTCCCACCAGAGCAGGTTGCTCAAGGCTTTAGCCAACCTGGCTGTGAACACTGCCAGGGTTGGGG